TAGTACAAACAGTACACATGATCACATGTTTTTGGACATTAAAGGAATAAATGTAAAATGATTACATGCTGGGAATAAATACCTCCTTTTCTTCTGATTCAAATATCAAACTGTTATTTAAAATACAGGAGTTTATGGCCATATTAAGTGCTGTCATTAGCAACTTTGAGTGAGATGGTGATGAAATTCAGAATGAAGATTGTTACATGACCCATCTGTCTTGTATGAAGGAATATTAGCACCACGTCAATAAAAATATTTGGTAGCACTTTCTATTACAGGTCAGTAATAAAGGGGTAATAGTAGGGTAACAAGAATGTAATAATGTTGTCATTCCCAAGTTGTTACCATGCAATTACCAAAGTAATAACCACTTAGTATCCAACTAATATCATGGCAGCAGCAGTCGTTACAGTTGAGTAATATTACCTTGAAGTGTATGTATTAGGATATCAAGAGCCCAAAAACTGGGGGTAATAATATGGAAATGAAGCTCTGTAATATAGAGGTAATAGTAGGGTAACGAGGAGGAAACAAGACTCTAATAATGTGGTAATTGTTACCACTCAGCTTCCTTTGGTAGTTTCTGTGTAACAGGCAGGAAACAGAGCTGCAGAACACAAAGCTGGCTTTTTAAAAATGTAATAACAAATTAATAACCAGGTAATAATCTTTTCAATTCAGTTTCACTTCAATTTTATTTATTCAGCACCAAATCACAACAACAGTCCCCTCAAGGCGCTTTATATTGTAAGGTAGACCCTACAGTAATACATACATTTGTGGGTCAGCTGCCCGCTTGCAAACTGAAAAACTGTTAAAGCAATTGTGATGTAACTGGTAGATCTTTGAGCAACAATGTCACAGATACAGACGGTCCTATTAGAAAAATGCACCGTCATAATTTGTGTATAAAGTAAAATCATTAATTCATCCTTTTAATTTTCTGCCCAAAATGACATTTTGGAATATTTCATTTAGAAATAAACCACTACAAAGTTTACTGTGGGTGGATAGCAATTGTTGAAAACTGTTGTGCTCAATTTATGGGTAAATACATATATAAGTGCTAAAAGAGGAATAATTTCCCTTCTTGTTACTATAACTGATTCTAAAGTA